TTTAATTAAAGCTATTTGTTCAATTTTGGGGTTGGTTGTTGTAGTTCATTCTAACTATTATTTTTTGGCGGGAAGAGTTTTTAATTTGGGATTGGTTTGTTTATTTATTTATCTTGGATGAATTTAGGTCAATTTATTTTATATTTTATATTTTTTTTTTCGGTTTTTTTTTCATAACATATTTATTTATTTATTTTTTTTTTTTTTTTTTTTTTTATTATTTTATTTTATTTATTTTTTTTTATTTTTTTCGTTTTTCATTTTTAGGTTACGTAGTAAAAATTTATTTTCATGCCTGCATTTTGAGATGAGCTCGGATCATTTATTTAATAATTTATTTTGGTCTGGGGAAAGTAATGATAGCTATTTTTTCCTCCAAGCAAAGTTTGCAAGTTTTTGATTGGTTGTTGTTAAAAATGACTTTTTTCCTTATCTTCCAAGATATTTTTGGTGTGATGTGCGTTTTGTTTTTTATTTCCCAGATATACTTAGAAAGCATTGTGCTGTTCGCATATTTACTATTTGTGAAAAGATGTTTTGTGTGTATAATTTCTTTGCTTCCAGGGTCCTTCAGTTACTCCTATGTATACTTTTTCTTCATTATCTGGTGATTTTATCGTGGCTTGGTATATTACGTTGTTTTGTAAACAATTTCCGTTTAAATACATTCGTTCTTTATTCTGCAGTTGCACGTGGGTTTAATTTGTTCGTTAAAATTTGTTGATAATTTTCCTATTGTGCTTTTTTATTATTTGTGCCATGCTATCGGTGCAGCTGTAGCTGATTTTTACTGTGTTTTTTTGTTGAATATCTTGTGTAAGGTGCTTGATTCTGGGAAGTGTTTGTGTAAGAGTTTGAAAATATTTTTCCTACGTTTGTTTTTACGTTCTTGCTGTACAAAAAAATGAACCATATGATATTTCTTCTCCTGTTGGCCTTTTTAAATAAGCTTCTGTGTTTGAGTATGTGAGTATTGCTGGGAATCCAGAATATCTTTTAGGGCCGTTTCATAGTCTTTTTTTAGCTTTGTTAAATAGGGGATTCATTGGAGGAATTGTCGGAAAAGCCTGCGGTTAATCGATTTTTTTATCTGTTTGATTATAGAAGGCGGATGGTTGGAAAATGTGTGTATGTAGAATGGTTTATCATTAGGTTTTCTGTATGGTTTATATGTGCCTTCTCTTAGGTTGAAGGTAACATCTAGGAAAATCTACTTCGTTTAGGTTAGTTTTTATATCTATGTCTATCTCCGTTATTTTTAAAAAATCTTTATTATTGCTTTTCTAGTTTTGTCTGTGTTTTGTTTGTTACAGTTTCTTAAGATTATGAGACCGTCGTCCCTGTAGAGTCCTGTGTCATTTTTTTAATCTATTATTTTGCTCAGTTCGTGTAGTAAGTAAATGCCTATGATTTCGCATGTCTCTGAACCGTCAAAATTTCCCATTGTAAAGAAATCAAATATCCCATCTTTCTTTATCCATGCTTCTTCATTGTGGAATAATAATGATTTACAAATTAATAAATGATGTTGATTTCAACATTAATATTATTTTTTCCTGATAAAAGTTGATGGCCTTATCTAGCATACGTTCTGTTATGGATGGGTAAAATTCTTTTATGTCTAATTGTAGGAATTGGCATTTTTTTTTTTTTTTATTTATGTTGTGGAACCAGTCAAATGTTTTATTTCGTATTTTTCCACTGGTTTACTCCTAATTTCTTCCTAAGTTCAGAATTAATCCTTTCTAGTACTGTTTTACTTCCTCGTGGGGGGGGGACTGTTAAATATCGGCCTGACAATTGCGCCTAGTATGAAACAGCCTGTTGCCTCTTATTGAAATTCAATTTTTCTTTTATATTTATATACGTTCTATCTCTGATATTGAGCATTTTATCCCATAAATATAAAAACTTAAAACTATATTTCTTCATATATATATATATATATATATATATATATATATATATATATAATTCTATAACATTTTCCAACTTATTATATATACAATATCGACTAAAAAATTTGAAAAGTAGCATTGCTTTTTTCCTTTAAATATAAAAAAAAATTAACTTTCATGCCTTTAAAGAAATAAATTTATTTTTTGTTAGCATGCAATTATGCAATAATTTAAATCCAAATGGTCTTTTTTCTGACAACATCTGCACCAGTTTTTGCATGTCATTGCAGCCAAAAATACAAGCCCATTTTTTGATATCTGTAATTTTCAAGCAATCTGGCGTTCGGAATACCCTTCTATAGAAGGAATTTTCACTTGGCATCTTTTTTCAATCCTAATCTGTTTAGTTTGTGGCATTTCAACGGTTTCTGAAAATGAATTTTAATCCGACATTAACCTGGATGGAATTGAGCCTCTACCAAGAGATGAAATATTTGCAAATTTCTGTTCTACAGTTCAGAAAGGGTATCAGGTTTTAACAAAATGTTCAAATAAATGTTATGCAAATAAATTTATAATGAAAATAAACTAAAAAATAACAATGTTTTTTGCTATACACAATAATATATTTTTTTTATCTAAATTTTTAAAATTATCTTTTTTGCTGAACTTAAAATGAAACAATTTAAGGTGGTCCCAAATTTTTTTTCATAAAATTTAGTAGTAGGTATGATATATATATATATATATATATATATATATATATATATATATATATATATATATATAATAATATATAATTCGTTAGTGAGCATATACATATATATGCAAAATATATAAATACCCATACATGTATATTTTTTTTTGAAAATTCTAAGAAAGAATCAAAAATTAAAATATATATTTTAAGACCTTTGAAAATTTTAATTTTATCCACTTGTCCTTGATCTCACATGGCACAAATATTCCATTAAAATCGATAGTTAGATCCAAGAAAACAGGACCCAAATTTTGAGTTCAAAATAAATAATAAAGTAATAACTTAAGAACATTTTTCATTTTAATTTTTATTGATTTCTGACATCCATTAAAACATGGCATAACATTTGAACTGATTTCAAATATAAATAATTGAATGATATTTATTACAATTTTAATTCGACATTCCAACCATTTTAAAAAAAAGCCGAAAATGTACAACGGCCGAAAAGTTGTAATAAATATGGCGATTTTTCCTTGAATATTTTTTTTTTATTGTTTTTTCTAGTGTATATATATATATATATATATATATATATATATATATATATATTATATATATATATATATGTATGTGATTCCAAGTAATTAAAACAAGATTTTAATCCGAAATTATTTTATTGTTATAACCGTTTTCCTTTTTCGTGGATGCGTGTTTGAGCGAACACCGCCATTTTTTTAACATTAATGTCCACCAGACTAGACCTTCGAAAGTCTTATTAAAATCAATTTACCTGCGTTTACTTTACCCTGGGAAAGACCCACACTGTTAGAACTCACATTCGGCGAGGAGATATAAAATTCTAAACAAACACGCATTCCAGTGGCTATTTCACTTCAGTGGCGTAAAAACAGAAGTTTCCATTACTTTGTTTTTTTGGCGAAGTGCGGCAAAATAATTCAGCAGACGATGACGACAACATCTACATTAGTAGCATAAACGAAACTGTCATGGCCTCTATTTTTGACATGGTAAAAATATATTTTATATATAAAAAAAAAATTAAACAAATATACAGTGTTTTTATTCGAGATAAAATATTTCTTAAATATTTTATTTTTATAAATAATTATCTGTATAACTATACAGAATTAGACAGGTTTAAAAGGATCTTTATCACTTTAATACGAAAAATCTTAAATATATGGTCCCTTTTTAAGATTGGGTTTCCGGTTCTTTCTAAAAGTCTATTTCAAATCTATATTCTAACCTCTTCTTCCCTGTATTTTGAACAGGGTAGAAGGTTTATCCTTGTTCCCTGTTTAAAGACTGGGTTTCCGGATCCTTCTAAAGTCTACTTCAACTCTATACTTCTAACGTCTCCCCCTGTCATTTGAACAGGATTAGAGGTTTTTCCTTGTTCCTTTAATTTAGGACTGGGTTTCCGGTTCCTTCTAAAATCTACTCAACTCTATACTTCTAACGTCTCCTCCCTGTCATTTGAACAGGAAAAAAATATCCCTTGTTCCCTGTTTAGGATTGGGTTTCAAATTAAAATTTATATATTTAAATTTATATATTCTAACGTCTTCTCCCCCGTGTTTTAAACAGGAGTAGAGGTTTATCTCTTCTTCCTTGTTTAGGACTGGGTTTCCGGTTCCTTATAAAGTCTACTTCAACTCTATACTTCTAACGTCTCCTCCCCTGTCATTTGAACAGGATTAGAGGTTTATCCCTTGTTCCTTGTTTAGGACTGGGTTTCCGGTTCCTTCTAAAGTCTACTTCAACTCTAGACTTCTAACGTTTCCGTCTGGACTCTTCTTCCTTCATTCTGCTTCACTGTCAGTAGCGTCTTAGTGGCATCATAGCCCGAGTTGAATTGATTAAAATATAATAACATAATATTATACACATTGACCATATTCGAGGAACCGTTTAATAGGGAGACTAGCCAATCCCTATTGCAGAAGCTTGTTCAACACCCACAGAGCCCATCTGTGGTTTATACTGCAACTATGCTGAGCAGAACTTAGTTACTGTTTCTGGGAAATAGCGTGTTATCTATTGTGATCAACAATTTGAACAAGGCTGACACGCTCAAATCCTCGGCCACGATGACTTGTGACTTCGTCTACCCAATTTCAGAAAATAAGTTTGGGTCAAAAATATGGTATGGTTTTCAAACTTTCCAAAAAAATCGCATTCTGGGCTCGACCTCGATCCATTCCGATAACATCAGGAAAATCGACCATGGTGAGATTCGAACTCGGGTCCCATGGTCAAAATTCGAGAATTCTAACCACTCGACCTTAGTAACGTTGGTTTACGGCCATATCATGTTGAAACACCGGTTCTCATACGATCACCAAACTTAAGCAACGTTGGGCCGGGTCAGTACCTAGATGGGTGACCGCTTTCTTTCTTTCTTTCTTTCTTTCCAAGTCTTTTCATATCTATCTATCTATCTATCTAAATTAGTTCCCGCTTTTTTTTTCTCAATCTGTTCCCATTTTACTATGGCTAACGGTCACATCACGTTGAAACATCGATTCCCGTATGATCACAGAAGTTAAGCAACGTCGAGCCTGGCCAGTACCTAGATGGGTGACCGTTTAGGAATACCAGGTGCTGTAAGCTTGAATGTGCGGGTGGTGTAATTGATACCGAGTCAGAATTGGAAATCAGAAAGCCGAGTTCCAAATTCAGTGGGATTAGTTATATTCGCTCACGCTCGAATACGTCCTTATTCTCTTCATATTCCATTAGCGAGGAGGAAGTTCCACGCAGACAGCTACTTCTCTAGAACTCTTACTTTGTGGATCAGACTCCCGAGAGGATGCTTTCCTCATATAAAAAATCTTAGCCATTTCAATTCTAGCAGCATCAATTATCTATCCTGCATATCCTTATCATATACACCTTTTGCTGATTGTTTATGGACATATTGAAACACTGGTTCCTGGACGATCAACGAAGTTAAGCAACGTCCAGTCTGGATAGCCTCTTTCTTTCTTTCCGAGTCTATTTATATCTATCTATCTGTGTCTGTTCATATCTATCTATCTATCTATCTATCTATCCGAGTCTGTTCATATCTATCTATCTATCTATCTTAATCAGTTCACGCCTATTTATATCAATCTGTTCCCATTTTACTATGGCTTACGGCCACATCACGTTGAAACACTGATTCCCGTACGTCGACAGAAGTTAAGCAACGTCAGTACATAGATGGGTGACCGCTTGCGAATACTGCAAGTTTTGATGTGCGGGTGGTGTAATGCATAATGGCTCGGAATTGTTAATCAGAGAGTCGATTTCGAATTCCCGTCGAATTCGTTGTATTCACCTGCATGTAAATACACTTGGGGAAAGGTATGCATCCACCGCCCCCTCCCAGCTATTAGTACGACTTTTATCACTAAACATTTATTATCTCAAAAACAAAAATAGTCTTACAATATAAAAATATTTTCTGGCTTTAAATAACCTTCAAAGGGTTCATAAAGCGTAAAAAACGAATCAATCTCTCGATTCTTCTCTATAGCCCTTAGAGCAACCGTATTTATGAATTCTCTACCTTGATTTGCTCTTGAGCCTTTTATTAAGTTAACAATAACAACAACAAAAAAACAAAACAAAAGTAATATAGTATTGTAAAAATTTGCTCCACGGTGAGTTAATCAATTGAAACAACTGCTTTAGTTTCCTTTTTTTTACCATACGGTCAGTTTTAAACCCACTGAAATGAGAGAGTGTAATCGATTTCTATTTTTTCCTCAGATTAGGTCATTTGCAGTGGTGTGCAGTAATATGAATCTATTTTCGGGGTGTATGATGAAATTTCTTTGGCCTTGAAAAATATTGCGTTATCCGTGATTGCATCAGATTTTCATCACGCCCAGACACTATTGTCTCGACTGTCGATTAGTTGTCCTACGGCCATTGTCTGCGATGGACGTTACTCCAAGGAAGCGTACGAAAATTTTAACGCTGCACGAACACACTGGCAAGTCTTACCAGTGAGCAAATCAAAGTACTATAGACTGGCCCGAAAACTCTCCCTGATTTAAATCCAATCGAGAATCTGTGGTCAATCTGCAAGGAACGACTTCGTGGAATGGACATACGAAGTACTAACATATGCACTGGGACATGTTTCATTGGAAAAATATGGAAAAAAAAGTAACGGAATTATTCGTTTTGTCCAATTAATTTACACATGGGTGTATATTTTTTTTATTTATACGAGGTATAGTCAACACTTTTAAATGATTAGAATAATAAATTCGTTATATCTTATTTAAAACGTGTTCAAAGAATGGATTAATATTTTGAATTAAAAATTGTTGGACCGACTTTTATAATGTTTACATTGTTTCTTGACAAATGTTCGACTAAAAATCATTTTGTAATCTAAAATTTCACTGAAATCTGTAATTTAATATCCATTCAAGAATTTTTGGTCAATTCTTTTGATGAACATTCATTAGGTGGAATGAACATACAATTAGCGTAATTTGATTTTAAGGCCGGTCAGTGTCATTGGTTGAAAGGCAAAATTGAAATTCGGCAAATAATAAAAATTAACTGTCAGAAAAAATGTTGCAATTGAAATAATCCATAAGGATAGTTTTTACGATCCTTCAGCTCTCAAAAACAGTCATGGTGTCTAAAAGAGATCAGCATAATGAAAAATGAAGGTAAAAATTTGGAACGATGTTTCTGCTCTGGCTCTGAGAAAAAGAATGCTTTAATTTTTTCATGGGAAAAAAAAAGTGTTTTAAAATGTTTTGGTCAAATTTGAATATATGAAATGATATTATTAATGGTCTTTGTGTTTTTTTAATTTATGTTCTTTTTTTTTTTGTCCAAATTTTTTTTTCTCCAGGTCTAGAAACAATAAATAAATCTTTAGAAATTAACTATATAATTTGCCTCTTTTACTTTCAATTATTGTTTGTAATTTCATAAAAATTCTGTTTCTTCCTTTTGTTTACTTTCATTTGTAAACAAATTAGACAGTTGAATTAAAAATTATTACTTTCCCAGTGTGTGTGTGCGCCAATGTGTGTGTGAATAATGCGAATTGGATAATAAATGCATTTCTTTTCCTTTTTTTTTAAATTACATATATTTTTTTATTAACTGTGGATAACATTTTTATATAAGTATATTTTTTTGAACCATATATATATCCCATCATATGTACGCGCGCGCATTGCGTGTAAATGTAAATTGTTTTGATTGATGTTAATGTGTGTTGTGTGTGTGTGTGTGTGGAAGAGAGAATAAAGAGAGAGAGAGAGCCTTCAATTTCTGTGTATGTGTGTGCAAGTTTCCAAACATTGAAGATAGATTTCACTAGCAGCTAATGCTTTCCCGACCTAGTTAATATAATGGAAACTTAAAGTAATTATCACAAGGAGATTTTGCTCGAATGAAATCTTTCCCGATTAAACTGACGACTGCCGTATTACTCGATGCCTTTAATCTTCTTGACGAATCGTCCAAAATTCTTTTTTTTTTTTTTGTATTTATTTTTTTCCAAAGGATTTCAGTTTGTTTTTCGAAGCAGGCCTTTCATTTTTGGACCTTGAACTAAAAAAACAATTAATTTTATTCTCACCATCCTTATAACATAAAGATACTTTTTCTTTTTTTTTTTTTTTTTTTTTTTTTTTTGATAATCAAATATTGATTGTAATATAATTTAAAAACATTTCTTAACTTGAAACGAAGAGTTGTTTCTAAGCAAAGAAATAGTTTATCGATTGCTTTTTTTTTTATCCAGTAATTAGATTAACAAAGATAAATAAATAATCAATCCAATTGCTCTGTTAGCATCTATGAAATATATAAATATTTGAAGAATCAGCTAGATTTTGCATTACACAAGAATGCTCAAAATAGCAAAAATGTTTCATATAGAAGTCAATTTCAATTATTCAAATGTTAATCTCTATGGTCAACTACCAAAAGAATCAAAGGTTGCAGCAAATAAGGATGTGTCTGGAAAGTCATGTATCAGGCATGGTATCTAAGTTGCCAAAAATTTGGATCTGGTCGCCAAGCGATATTGAAACAAGAATAGACGAATAACCTATATATATAGATATATATATAACAGGACTCAGAGATATAAAACGACACAAAAGCTGAGAATCATCATGTGTATCTGAATTTATAGAGGAAGAGTGTATGTGGATGAATCCGTAGGACCACAAGGAAAAGGTGCGCTGTTATTAGAAATACCAGTAAGGTCAAATTGAATTGGGTCCAATGTTAACTTGGTGTTTACTTAATCGGTCCAAGAAATTAACCAAACCAGTTATGAAACTTGCATTATTCAATTTATATTTCACTAAACGAATTTTTGAACGCCCACTGAGAAAAATCATCGATGTTTTTGGCCACTGGTTCATTATTCCTTTTAATAATATTGAAATAAAAAAAAAAAAAAAAGAAAAAAAAATGAAACGAAAAGTATGAAACTTCATTTTGAACTTTTCAATGATATATTATATATATATATGTCTCTCCAAATAAATATTTTTTTTAACGTGTGGCTCGTCTAAATTCTTGGAAGAGAGAGAGGAGTATTTTCCAATTTGAAAATCTGATATTTTGAAATCTCCTAGACTGAATTCCAATAGAAGGCTACAAAGTCCGGTTTACCCTGCTATTTAACCTGTAGCTGAGGTTGAGAAAAATTTGAATTCAAATTTTCCTAAAGGTCAGTCAGTTGAGTGTCGTATACAATATACACTTGGGTGATCATGTCTCTTTCGATTCATGACAAGTTTTTCAGTATTTCATAGCAGTAGGTTGCCGTTACTTTCTGCAAAACTTGTTGACACCGCAAGTCTATATTCGATCTGTTCTATTCCACCCATAGCTGGGGAGGAGAAAAGATGGATTCAAAAAAAACATTTACCAAGGGTATTTTGAACGTAAAAGAAATGTAAGCTCCCACTGGAATTCGAACTCAACTCTCCGATTTCTCATTCAGAGCCGTTATACATTGCTAAATTTAGTGCCAAAATGAATTTCTGAATGAAGCCAAAATTTTAACTCGCACAGATTCCACATTCCACAACGATTCACTCTTGTCGTACATCTGGGGTTAATAATAATAATAATAATAATGATTGACAAATGTGCCTTTTATTGAGATGGCAGTCCCTAAAGACGGCAAGGTATCTTTTAAGATTAAAACTATCAAATTACAATGAAACTTGAAATCAAATATTAAATGTTTAACATGATGATTCAACAATTCCATTTGTAGTTTTTCCCTGGCCTGATTGGAAAAGATTCCAATAATCTCATTGAAGGATTCCTAACGAAAAAAACAATGACAATAATAATAATAATAATAATAATAATAATAATAATATCGAGAAATTGTCCAAACACAAAGACCTGGAGATCGATTAACAGGATTCGTTATGAGACTGAGAACGTACCAATAGTAATAGTAAATCTGGGCCTCCCAAGGAAAACGAATGGGCAATTTACTAACAGTGTCGGTAACATCAAAATACAAGTTGCCCAGAAGGTCGTTCTATTAGGAACATCTCATATACTAAGAAAAATGCTATAAATTAAAATATGAAAAATCCTATTGGGCCTAAAAACTATAGTTTGGACCCGGCTCTACAGGATACAAAGCATTTCTCAAACATAACATACACAATATGATAATAATTTATACATTGATGCTAACAAGGCATGTTTCCCATCAAACATCTTAAATGAACTGGTGGTGTTAACCTGTATTTTTTTTGTCTTAGTGAATAAAGATGAGCTATGTAAATATCTATATTCAGTATCATAGATTTGCTTGAACTTTGGGTTTATATATAATTAAATATATATATATATATATACTATAGAATCACAAATAATAATTGTGAATATCCTCAATATATATATGTCTGAACAGACTGCCCTAACCTACCTTATATTTTGAGATGCAAGGTTCTTCTGAAGGAGTTTCTTTTTCAAAATTGATCACCATTTAAACATTTGGCTGTGTTGCATGTAATACCTTTAATAATCATATTAACGAAAATTGGGTTTAAGTATTTGCTTCACAGTGTCACCTATTTTTAATTTAATTCTTCTCTTATAAAAATAATAACGTTATATATAATTTAACAGAAATGTATTAAATGAATTTTTAAAACTTCCATATTGAAAAAAGTTTCCAGGTCAGTTGTTTGTATTCTTAAGATGCAACGTAAATAAAAACGTAAAATAACATAAAAATTTTCATTCGATATGTTTCGTCCAATTCGTAAAATTTTAAAAACCAAATATGATCTAAATATTTATTTCAAATTTATTAAATAATGAAACCTAAAATGTATTTTAAGTTTACCTATATAATTTTTTTTTTTAAAGAAAATGTTCATTTGTTCATAAATTAGAATTCGTGAAAGTAAAACTAATATAGATGTTTATTGGATATGCAGAAAATTTTTTTAACCCTATTATCGGAAAGGTTAAGATTGTTGTGATCGGGGAAATAAACTATTATAATTTTGAAAAATAGTAATATTTAATGAATGTTCTTAAAAAATAAATGTTTTAATAAAAATAGTATTTAACTTATATTAAGTCCCCTAAACTATTAATTTAAAAAGGTTTTTATTTTTTTAATCTGAAAAAATTCATTTTTTTTTAAACATCTAAAATTTTCTATTAAGCATTGAAATCTATATTTTATATAATTTTGTTAAAACAAAATTATATATATATATATATATATATATATATATATATATATATATATATTGCCGTAACACTCATTTAGATATATCTGTATTACTGTCGTCTGTCTCCTCTCTCTTTTCCATTTTTCCTTTTCTTTTCTCCCCCTCCCCCATTCCTATATATCATTTCCGTTAAGTTAACCATCTAAATAGGTCAAGGTTCGGTCACTCCTCCTACCCCAATATAAAAGCATGCTTAAGAGAGATATAAAATTAACCCCTCTCTATACTCTACCTTGTCTCTTTAACTACAACTCTCACCCCCCTGTTAAATTACAAAAAAATTACACTACCCATCAATTTCTAATCCCATTTTTCCTTTCATTTCGTTGTTGGAATTGTTACCTGATGATCCGGAGTCCTTTAAAAGGATTTTGGTGAAATAAATTATTGTAATGGTACCTTAAAGTGGTCTGTTTTTTCATTAAATATTAGCTCTGTATTCACATTGAGCTCTCAGGATTTCATCCTCCTTGGAATTACCCATTCGGTTTACCAAGTTCTTCGTGGCCTGACGATTGCATCTATCATTGCAAAACAGCCTGTCGCCTCTGAGTTTTTAAAAATTTATTTATATTTACATACTTATCTCTGATATTGACACTTTAAAACTATATTTCTGCATTTGATATATATAGATAGATATTTTCATTGTTTTTTTTAATTTAAGAGTTATTTTTATGAAACTCATATTAGAGCAGAAGTATATATATATATATATATATATATATATATATATATATATATATATATATATTATATACAGACAGTATATATATATATATATATATATATATATATATATATAATGGAGAAAGAGAGTTTACAAATTATATATATATATATATATATATATATATATATATATATAGTAATAAAAAATATTTGCTCACCGAAGTTAAGCAATATCGAGCCAGGTCAGTTAATATATATACACACACACACACACGTGTGTGTATCTTGTGTGTGTGTGTATAGGGAGTAAAAAGTAGATATACAGTAAGTGCAATCATTTAATTCATTAAAATCACAATATTTTTTTAATTCATAATTTTTTATTATAATACATTTATTATAATTTTACTTTTTAATAAATAATAATAAATGTTTTGCAGGTAAAGAGGAGTGTGCGAATGACTGAGGAAACAGTTTCAACATTTGTGGGACTAATATGTTTCCCATTGATATGTTTCTTATTGATATGTCTATATAGTCAACACATTACATTTTGTGGTACGTTTTTTTTTCATTACTGTATACCTACTTTTGCACATCCCTGTATATTTCAGTCTAATGTTTGTGTTTCTCGTTTCTTTTGATCTCGGATCACAGGACTCTTTATGTTAGTTGTTTGTTTTAAGTCGACCGACAATTTGTTAAATACAAATCCTTTCTTGCTTTCGGACTTTTTTTACTAGTTTTTTTTTTCCCCACTGTTTTGTCAAAAGAGTGCGTGTCTCCTTCCACTGTTTCCTGTCGGCCATTTTACAGCATTCGCCTTGCAATTCAACCGACCCTCGATGGAGGCGCCGACAACACCCTATTTTCGGCTGGCTTTTTTAAAAAAAATTATTTTTATTTTCTTTGCGTCGTCTTTATTCTTCGAGTTTTATTTGCTCTTTTGTCTATCTTTCTATCTATCTGTCTGTCTGTCTGTCTTTCTGTCTCCCTGTCGGTCTCTCTGTCTGTCCGTCTCTCTGTCCCTCTCTTTTTCCTGTCTGTCTGTCTCTCAGTCTCTCTGTAAATCTCTCTGTGTCTCTGTCTGTCTCTCTGGCTGTCTGTCTGTCTGTCTCTCTGTCGCTCTATTTTCCTATCTGTCTCTCTGTCTGTCTGTCTCTCAGTCTCTCTGTAAATCTCTCTGTGTCTCTGTCTGTCTCTCTGGCTGTCTGTCTGTCCGTCTCTCTGTCGCTCTATTTTCCTATCCGTCTCTCTGTCTGTCTGTCTCTCAATCTCTCTGTAAATCTCTCTGTGTCTCTCTCTGTCTGTCTCTCTGTCCGTCTCTCTGTCGCTCTATTTTCCTATCTGTCTCTCTGTCTGTCTGTCTCTCAGTCTCTCTGTAAATCTCTTTGTGTCCCTGTCTGTCTGTCTCTCTGGCTGTCCGTCTTTCTGTCTGTCTGTCTGTCCCTCTGTCTGTCTGTATCTCTGTCTCTGTCTGCCTGTTTCTCTGTCGGTCTGTCTCTATGTCTGTCTGCCTGTCTTTCTGTTTGCCTGTTTGCCTGTCTGTCTGTCTGTCTGTTTTTTTTTTTTTCTACCAGGTGAAAACCTTATTTCGTTTCACCTCTTTCTTTGTCACAACATCTGTACAAGGAAACAAAAAAACGTTCCTTAAACCAGCTAGAGCCTAGTTACCGGCGATCCGCCCACAAGTCAGTACCACCCCATTACACTATAATGTAGCGCGGTAGCTAACCGGGAAAAGGAAGAATAAAATGTCATAGAAGCCACGTTTTAACAGGGTAGGAAAACAAGACATAGGGAAAGAAAGTCGTCAATTAAATTTTGCGGGTAAAAAAATGTCATTGAGAAAAGAACGTAATGAATAGGCATAGATAGGTTTTCCTAACGCCCGGTTCACACTCCTCCCCAGTCTTTTGAACAGGAATAGAGGTTTATCCATTATTTCCTGTTCAGAATTGGATTTCCGGTTCCTTATAAAAGTCTCATTCTCTTTAACTCCCAATAGTCCTTTGCGTCTTAGTGGCATTATCTCCTTGCTTGCTTATAAAACAAAATCATTTCAAATAGTGAATATTTTAATAAAATGAGTAACATTTTAATTCTTTTAATATTCTAATTTATTTAATATTTTAATGTGTTACATTTATTTGTTACTAGTGGTCCCTGTGGAAATTTCACGGTGTTACTGTTTTTCATTGAAATCAATAGTTTTGAGGTCTCCTAACTCCATGGTATATACAATTTTTAAATGAGCTCTTTATAGCATCATTCCAATTATATTCTTTGGTAGTCATGTCTCCTTGATATTTTGACAGCAGGATCAGCAATAAAATAGTAATGGCAAAAACGTAACGGTCAGTTCACCTGACTAAGAAAGGCAGAGCACGGTTTTTCTATTTTTGATGAATCTAAAATCTTAAATTAATGATTGATTAAGCTCGTGCCGATTTCAATGACGATAAAACGTATGTAGAAATTTTCTCATCGTTAAAAAATTTGAGCTTACCAACTTTAAGAAAATATTGCAATAACAATCAGGAAAAGAGTTGAAATTAACAACTTTTCCCATGTAACTGAAATAGACTTTAAACACTTCTTTCTTTCTTTCTTTCTTTCTTTCTTTCTTTTGTTTCTTCTTTAATTCTCGCCTTCCCTCCTTTCGTTTTCTTTGTAACAATCACCTTTTTTTCTTTCTTTCTTTCTTTCTTTTTTCTTTTCTTTCTTTCTTTCTTTCTAAGAATTATTATAACTTTTCCTTTCTTTTTTTTTTTTTAATTATGAAAAGTAAAGTTGGCCTTACCTTTTTATTTCTTAATATATATATATATATATATATATATATATATATATATATATATATACATATATATATATATATATATATATATATATATATATATATATATATATATATATATATATACAGGAAAGCAGAGAGACGGACAGAGAGACAGAGAGGCCGAATGAGAGACAGATGTACAGACAGACAGCACTTGGCGATTTGTTTCGTCTTCTTCACATGTTTTTAGTTCTTTCTTTTCTTATTTACAAATCAGGTACCGATTTCTCCTGACATATCTGCAAGTTGAGCTATCCGAGGTTTTTACAAACAGTAGTAATATATATATATATATATATATATATATATATATATATATATATATATAGTTATATATCCAAAGAGATGACAGTGACAGGATCCAAAGAGTGTGAGTTCAATACCCTGTTAAGGCAGTGGAGAACTTTCAGAGGAGATAACTGATAACTGACATCCATTAAACATGGCACGTGGAACTAGAACAGTCTACCCCAGTGAGCGAAATAAAGGGTTCAATTTGACATTCCAACCACCTGAAGAAGGCCGGAGCGTACAACGACCGAAACGTTGTAATAAATATGGCGACAAACATGAGGACAATAGTTCGAATAATGTAAATGATGTAATTACTATTAGGTATGTGTTTATCTATAGATTTAGTGCCAGATCGAACCAGCCTAATACCTAACTGGTAATGGGAGATTTACAAATATGCAAGATGGATTCTAGCGAGAAATATTTTCTGGCACGACATATTGAACCAACTTTCCTTGCGTCTTAGTAGCTTTGATGCCTTTCTTGAAGTGAAGTGATAAAAAAGAAGAAAAAAAAAAGACCGCCTGTGCAACAAAAATCGTTCTGGGAAAGGCCCCTAAACAATATACTGGTTTCAGCTAATAACTATGATGGACAGCTAGCGGTTGACTTCAGTCATCCACATGCAAAAAAAAAAAAAAAATCGTCGTTGACTAAAGCGACTTGGGTGATACATGGGCGAGTGGGCTGAAACCAGAGAGGTCCACGGCGCCATTCCGGGTCTTGTGTATTTTTGAACGATTTTTACTTAAGCACGAGATGTCCATTATTTTTGGTCGCGGCTCGAAGTAGGTGGGATGGGGCAGTTCGTCTCTTCAAGACGATATCCGAGGTAGATTTCTTTTTGATGTTACCATCTTGTAGCCTTAGTCTAAAGAGGCAGGACTTACTAGGAAGGAGATGTTTTGGATTCAGTTTTTCATCTCCAAGACAGGTTACCAACCAAAGCTATGGAGTCCTGCCTGTCCTGCTATTTACCCATAGCTGTGAGGGGAAGAAAAGATTTCATGCCTTTCTCTTTCACTTTCACCGCCACTCCACCTTACCTCCAAAGAACCTAACATACTCGGTAGATAGATAAATGTGTGACCCATGAAACTTTTTACAGCCATGTCCATTCCCTGCAGTAAATTAGGGTCTTAATAAAACCTGTTTATTTGTTACGAGATGTCATTTCTCTGACCATATTCGTCTTGTTGATGTCCAAACAAAATGTTCAATAAACAACAAGCGACAAGTGACAAAGCCTTGTGGTCCCGGCCAAAAAGGGTCAGTCAGTTATGTTTCATGCGTGATACACGCTTAGGCGATCTTGTATCTTTCGATACATGACTGTCCTGCTATTTACCCATAGCTGAGCAGGGAAGAAGAACAGGATTCATAATTTTCCGAAAGGTATTAGCAGTTATGTGCCATTCGTGATACACGCTTAAACAATCATGTATTTTTCGATACATGACTGACGAGGCAAATTTTTTCCCCGCAGTAGGTTGCCATTTCTTTCTGCGGTAGACAAGTTGCCATTCAAGGCTATAGATTCCGGTCTGTCCTGCTATTTATCCATAGCTGGGGAGGGGAGAAGAAGAGGATTCATACTTTTCCAAAGGGTATTAGCAGTTATGTGCCATTTCTGATACACACTTAAACGATCATGTATTTTTCAATACATGACTGACGAGGCAGATTTTTTTCTCTTTGTAGGTTGCCATTTCTTTCTGCGGTAGACCAGTTGCCTTTCCAGGCTATAGAACCCAACCTGTCCTACTATCCATAGCTGGGGGAGGGAGAAGAAAAGGATTAATACCTTTCACAAGGGTATTACCACTTCAGTCACTCAGTCAGTTATGTGACCTGCGTCATACACGCTTAGGCGATCATGTATTTTTCGATACATGACTGACGAGGCAGGTTTTTTTTTTCCGCTGTAGGTTGCCATTTCTTTCTGCGGTAGACCAGTTGCCATCCAATGCTATAGAACCCAGTCTGTCCTACTATTTACCAATAGCGGGGGTGGGTGAGAAGAAGAGAATTCTACCTTTATTAACAGGTAAGTAAATGCAATGGATTCGACTGGAATTCGAACTCGGCTCTCCCCTATCCATTACTCCACCATGCTTCCTAGAAAAAAGAGTAATTCTCGTTAAAAAAAAAGACAAAGTTTCTTTTCGTATTAAGGCAGCTAATCCTCTTTAATCCGGCAGTCGTGGGACAAGGACACTGATCACAAAAATACTGGGAATCTCAGAAATCACCCTTAAAAAAGAAAACTATGAAAACACAGTCTTGTCAGCTCATTCAACATACGAGATTTGATTAAAAATTATCGGTACTATAAAAAGAAAACTATAACAGATATCAATTCAGTATTTAATCTCCTTTGAAGTAGTCCCCTTCTGAAGTCAAACACTTCTTCCTTCGACGATTCCATTGCCTTTTTTTAGCCTTTGTATTGCATCGAAACAATAAAAACCTTGTGATGTTAGAACTGTAAAATCTTGCATGCATTAATTTCAACTCTTCTTATTAATAAAAGCATTGTTTCTTTCCATGTACGCGGATGGGCTGAAAAGTTCATAGGCTAAATATGAAGGATTGGTGTTAGAGCTGTAAAATCTTGCATGCATTAATTTCATCTCTTCTTATTAATAACTGCATTGTTTCTTTCCATGTACAAGGATGGGCTGAAAAGTTCATAGGAAGCATTACCTCGTTACATTTTCTTAGATTTCCTCGGCGTCTTGGAATTTTGTTCCTTTCAAGTGGGATTTAAATTTTGGAATAAGAAAATCACAAATGGGGGAAATCTGGAGAATATGGTTGTTGTCGAAACTGGCGAATGTTGTACTTGACCAAACATTTCTTCACAAGAGATAGTCACTGATGGAACCTATGTGGTGTGGTGTGACGACCACACTCTATACACTTTCCTTCCAAGTACTGCTATAAATAACGAAATCGAGCGAGAACGTTGTAACTTAATATACATACGTGACAGCGTCCAAGGTCTATCTGTGCCAAGCTTCTTCATACTGCGCAGTTTAGCTCTGTTACTATCGCAACAGATTTTTTATCAGACCTCGTATATATTACTCTTTTATCAAAAATAAAACAAAGTTGAAAACAGGAAATAAAAACAATCATTAATGCTTCCAAACAAGGTTTTTATTGTTTCTATGCAATACAAAGGCTAAAAAAAAAAGGTTAAAACCAAAAAATAATATATACTTATACTGAATTCGGGTATATAAGAAATGAACAAATCCGTATCACTAAAACATTCTGCTGTTGTCGGCTGATGCGGAAAGATGTAAACAATGTGTGGCTCGACAAACTAATGGCTGCTGATTTGAAAACCTTAGCGGACCATGGGAGTTAACAGACCACTCAGTGTCGGTTGAAAGATGTGGGGCGATATATGTACAGGGTAAGTATTTACTCTGTCCCCCACAAGGTCTATTTTTAGGTGGGGGACCCGAGCGCGTACACCCGGGACAGGAACAAAAATTCCCCTCAGCCCCCGCAACTGTCGGTTGCGCTGGCCTCGGTGCGAGCACCGATCCTTCCCTCTGGTGCAATGGGAGGACACGGCTTCGGGCAGCTGTTCCCCAGGGTTGGGCACCTCTCAGTATGATTTTCCTCTGTTGCCCCTGTGTCCTTTGACAGAGGAGCCCCTCAGCGCACACTGTCCAAAGACAGACGCAACTGAGAGACGTGAAATTACTCAAAAAGAGTAATAATGTACAGGGTAGGTTTATTTCGCAAGTGTAGCTTAATATGATGAAAAAAAGCATATGATAAAAGTACCGGACAACCACTGCAGAACAAACTCATTAAGCTATTAAACAATAAGTCTGTCTATATTTATAAGATGAGGTATTGTAATTATTTATATTATTTACAGTGTTCGGACTGTTGTCCTCATCTTTATTGCCATCCATATTCACGACGTTTCGGTCGTTGTACGCTCCGGTCTTCTTCAGGATATTTTTGAGATGAGGTATTGTTATTATTTACATTATTTACTTTGTTCAGACTGTTGTCCTCATCTTCGTTGCCATATTCGCGACGTTTCTGCCGTTGTACGCTCTAGCATTCTTCAGGTGATTGAAATGTTGTACTAAACCTTTTATTTCGCCCACCGGTGTAGAGTGTTCTAGCTTCATACCTCTTCCAAAGAGTTGCGAGTTCAATACCTCGCTACTGCAGTGGTGAACAAAAAGAATCTTGGTGAGGTGAATTAAAGGGAGATAACTGAGACATTCTAAATAATAATAATAATAATATATTCTGATTCCTGGAGCAATATTCTTTCCTACTAATACTGTGTCTTCGTTCACAAAGCTATCGAAACTGTTACCATTCTTTTCATTTCATAGAGGTTTAGACTGCAGGCAGTTTCCTTTCGAATTTGCAAACCACGGGGAAAATTGCTTACGTACATATTAACACACATCCCACCAGCAGACACAAGAACTTTTTTCAGCGTTCGTTGTTTGTCACACGATTTGCCATCGTCACAAACATAACGCCATCATCAAAGAGAACTTACCCAACACATCTATCTAGCTAAATCGATTCATATCTATCGATCTATCTATTTCAGTAGGTTCGTTTCTCTCTCTCTCTCTCTCTCTCTCTATCTATCTATCTATCTATCTATCTATCTATCTATCTATCTAAATCTTTTCATATATATCCATCAGAGTCGGTACATATCTATCTATCTATCTAGCTAGCTAGCTAAATCGGTTCATATCTATCGATCTATCGATTTCAGTCGTTCGTATCTATCTATCTATCTATCTATCTATCTATCTATCTATCTATCTATCTATCTATCTCAGTCTGTTCATATCTATCTATCTATCTATCTATCTATCTGCTATCTATCTATCTATCTCAAAAAGTCTGTTCATATCTATCTATCTATCTATCATCTATCTATCTATCTCAGTCTGTTCATATCTATCTATCTATCTATCTATCTATCTATCTATTTCAATCTGTTCATATCTATCTATCTATCTATCTATCTATCTATCTATCTATCTATCTATTTCAATCTGTTCATTCTATCTATCTATCTATCTATCTATCTATCTATCTATCTATCTATCTATCTATCTATCTATTGTTTTCTGAGCCGTAAGGAAACTGCGCCATTGTCACCGGGGTTTTCGTTCGCCATAGCGCCTTGGATATTCAGTGAATCTCTGACGGTAATTCGTTGTCTTTTTCGCGTGATTTTTCCGTTCCTTAACGCGTCGAAAATCGTGCCGGTTTGAAAGTTAATGCAGCATCTTCTGCGCACGAATCGGCCCATTTTGCAAGGCAGCTGCTTTCAGCTAATATCGCCTCGCATCATTTGAAATGAATTATTTACTTGGATGTATTGCACTCAGCAAGGGATTCGCCCTCACCCCGGCCTCTTCCCTTGCGTTCCATTTGGTACTGCTATCAAATCAACACGATTATTTATTTATATCATTAATAGAGTGAATGGAAAACCACGGCATTTTCTCAGGTGAGTTCTGTGCAAGAATCCTAATAATTCGTACGCAGCCATTATACAAATGACAAAACCACGCTTGAATATACGTATTTATACTTTGTAAAAAAGACTCCCTTTAATACGTAAATCTCCTCTCTCTCTCTCTTTCTTTATATATATATATATATATATATATATATATATATATATATATATATATATAGGTAAAGGTAAAAAGGAGAACGAATAATGTCCAATTCCAACGTTCGTAACATTTAATTTAAAAGAGGGCTCAATACAAAGTAGACCAATATTATTCATTTTAGGATATTACACCGAAAACATGTCAAAATCGCTACACAATTGCAGTCGTGTTTCGATGCGTATCAATGCACCTCATCAGGCGATATATATATTAACTCTCTCACAATATTTATAATCAATCACTTGTCACCCATCTCTATTTTGTGAATACGATGAATGTGTTCCTTGTTAGGGACATTTGCAGGATCTCCAGAAACTTAGGCGATCTTCAAGAATATCCCTCCCCCTTCTAAATTCAGCTGTTCACTTTTGCATCGTAGATGAAGGTTGCGCGCCATCCCATAATGTAGTAACCATGCCAGAATAAATGTCTTTGGGAGCTACACCCTTTTCTGTAGGTACCTGATAGCGATACCAAAAAGAAGTCGCTACCAGTTACTATTGAAGTCTTCTTTGAACAGTCAGAGGTTAGTTTACCACGAAAGAAACAATGTAGTTATTAATAACAAGAGGTGAAATTAATGCATGCAAGATTTCACAGCTCTAACATCACTCCTTCATATTCAGCCTATGAACTTTTCAGCCTAACCTCGCAGAAAATCTCTGTTGGTAAAAATTGTTTTTCCTTGATATCCTTCACACCTTTTTGCTTCTGGTGGTCCCTTGCTTAGGGGTTTGCAGAACCATTTGGATCGTCTAAGGTTGACATCAAGAGAAAATGTTTAACTTAAGTTGGTCACGTATTTTATGTACAGAAACAATGATTGAAACTTAGAATTTAAAAATATTGTCTGGCTTTAAATAACCAGCAATGGGTTGATAAACCGTAAAAAACGAATCAATCAATCAATGAAATACTGATTACCTACACAAGCATGTCTTTTACATTTATTTATATTTTCTGGAATATAAATGTAAAGAAACTACCGTGACCCCAAACTGGGGGATCATTTTATATGTTGATTGTAATATAGAACTGATCCCCCACTTTATATCGACATTATATTTTATTTTTGCTTGCTTATCAAATCTGATTATGAATTCATCTTTTCTCCTCCTAGGTATGGGTTAATTAGTAAGACTTGTATCACTAAACCATAATTATCTCAAGAATAAAAAATAAAAATTCTTGCAATCTAAAAATATTTTTTGGCTCTAAATAACCTGCAATGGGTTGATAAATCGTAAAAAAAGAATCAATCAATCAAAACATACTCTACATTTAATCGAAGTTCAACACACTTGATCCATCGTTTTATAAATTTCTTTATCTTCCTCCAAGAACTTTTCGGAATCTTCTAATATATATATATATATTATATATATATATGGTCTGAGTATTTTCGTTTTATGAAAGAGTAAAAATTTCCAGTTCTGAAACGATAACTTTTCCAGCAAAATAAATATTAAATACATCGATAAATAAATAAATAAATCGTTGAAATTAAAATCACAAATTAGATACGATTTTTAAGCTAAAAGACTAAACGGAAAAAAATTGAAAAAACAAAAATCAAAGAGAAATTTGCTGAATCAAACGTCAACGATTTACGAGCAGACGTCATATATTGCCATGAGTGCCTTAAGAAAATAAGTAAAAAACAAAACAAAATAAAACAAAAAATTACGAGTCAGGACTTAATTAGTGTAAAATTTGTTTGATATTTCGACTAATTGTCTTGTGGATGAGAAGGAAGAGACTGTAATTGGCCAATTTGTCTACTGTGGGCAAAGATTTAAGTGAAGTAATGCGAAGAAACTGCAAGAATTTAATGCCATCTTAAGTGTGTCGTCATGCAACTGGTATCGTTGTATCTTCTCTCAAATAGAAAAATGCTAGACAGGAACATCCAAGAGAAAGTGTGTGTGTGTGTGTGTGTGTGTGAGAGAGAGAGAGAGGGGGGGGTAAATAAAAGTAAGAGGCTATGAAATAGAAGATAAAGAGGGAAAAATAAGTAAGGTAGAGAGAAAAAGAAAGAGAGGATGAAGGAAAAAAAAGAATTTTGGACAACACAAAGAAGAAAAAAAAAGAAGGAAGAAAACAGAAAAAAAAGCATAATTATAAAGTTTATATTTCTTTCCGTGAAGTGGGAATTAATAAAATCCGGAAGCGTACATGTGACATGCGCATGATTGTCTTTGCGCGCACACACATACACACACACATACACGCGCTCACACACACATACACACACAGAAGATGGGGTACTGAAGTTAGTATGACAATATTATGAAACTGACAAAGTCCGACAATTATTTTTAAGACATTTTTATGTTTATAAATTCTTTTTATAGATACAAATAAATATGTAAGTAAATGCTCAGTTTATAATAAACAGTATTAATAACATTTACCGGCCTGAATGTCCGAGAAATTTTCATAGAAAATATTCGTCCTTCGAATCAAAATTTCTCGGATATTCAGGCCAGTAAATGTTATTAATAATGTTTATTATAAAACAGAGCATTTACTTAAATATTTGTATCTATAAAAAGAATGTATAAACATAAAAATATCTTATATATATATATATATATATATATATATATATAGAGAGAGAGAGAGAGAGGAAAATTGTATGACAAAGGGAAAGATGTGATTTCAACATTTCACCATTCCTGGCAGAACTTCTATTATCCAAGTGTGGGATATCAACTAACAAAAGGGATAGAAAGAAGAAGAATATAAATAAAGTCGATTTAAATGAAACCGGCTGCAAGATGGACTCTGACGAAAAAACTTCTGGCACGGCACAGTGAACCAACTTTCCTTGCAGTAGATGTAATTCAATGTAATGTTCTAATTCAAGCCAGTTTTTAAATGTGAGGCCAAGAAGGTGCAGTGAGGCGCTCTCCAGGAGTCGAGCATGAGTCATGCTGATAGCGAACAGGGAAGTTTCTCTATGGTGGTTAAATGAGAGCAATTTAGTTTTGGAGTCATTAAAATTTACAAGCCATTTCCTGTCCCAGTTAACCACTGATTAGAGATCCTTTTCAAGACCAGCGACCAAGTTAACTTTATCAGCTCTGACGGCTTTGCTATTGAGACAGGAGTAAATGGTAGTATCATCTGCATAAATGCCCACTTGGGAACTGATGACTGATAAAAAGGAGAAAGAGAATTTCGTTTCTTTTTTTTTCACTTTTCACTTTCTCTTTTTTGTCCTTTTCTCCTTTTTATTCGGTGTATCTGTCTTGATGGACTGATTCCATTTCTTAAAAAACCTTTCAGTCTGAAAATATGAATATAACAATATTCATTAAATAAATTACAATCGATATGGATTTTTAAGGCGTTTTTTGATTTATCATTGTATATTTCTCTGTAACTTACATTGAGCTCTGATTGGATTAATATCCTCCATGGAATTATCCCTACCAATTATAAATTGTTATATATATATATATATATATATATATATATATATATATATATATATATAAAAAAAAAAACTTAGCGCTTCATCGAAAACTCGATTATAAATTATAATTTATTTAAACGGGTAAGTTTTTAATACCCGTGTCATCAGAACGAAATTACAAACCATTTGTTCAGAGCATTGACTTCCTTTCTCTCTGTCCGAAGGCAGTGAGTTCGACAAGCCTGTCACAAGCCTGGCAGCAAACAGCCTGTCACGAGCCTAGCAGCAAACTGCCTGTCGCGAGCCTGGCAGCAATCTGCCTGACTCGAAACCACTTCTTTTCGAGTTCGTAATGGTTTGTTTTAGCAGCATTTTGCGATTTGGGACAAACCCCCCTGATGTATCTTATTCTATGTTCAATTTTGTTATCACCTATGCTTAATTGCTTAATTGCTTATAACTAATCCACGCATCAAGGTATTTGATGTGTGTACTATTTATCAATTCCAGGCTTTGAATCTTTTTTTTTTTGTGAGGATTCAGTCTCGTTAAGTGTCATCTCTGCTTTCTTTCCCGTCATACATCATACACAATTGTTCAAATTAATTGAAACAACAGCTTTAGTTTGCTTTCTTTCATCATACGTTCAGTTTTAGACCCTCTGGAGTGACGGTATAATCGATTCCTATTTTTTGCCTCAGATTAGGTCATTTGCAGTGGTATGCAGTAATATGAATCAATTTTCAGGTGTATGATGAAATTTGTTTGGCCTTGAAAAATATTACATCATCTTAAAAATGATCTACAATCCGTTGTTAAATGGGGCAAGGTATAGCTTATTAATCTTAATGCCTCAGAAATTAAACTACTTTCTTTTAATCAGCCCAGAGAACCCTTTTCATTTTCCATTATCATGGCTGATGCTAACCTCCAGGAGAGGGACTCATTACACTCATTACAGGACAGTGACTCATTACACCTTCTCAGACTACCATCTTAAAACAGACTACCACCTCTAAACTGATTCTATCTTTCTTATCAAAATGAAATCGCGAAATGAAAGTTGTCTTGAACAGCCACTCTTCTAGAGCTTTATGGATTAATTCATATGTTCTCCAAAGCTCTATCTTTGGACCTATATTGCTCCTACTTTTCACCAACATCCCTGATGTCACCAGTTATCAACTCGGTATCTGTGCTAATGATAACTATTTACTCCTGTCTTAATAATAACTCTGATCTGTTTGATCAGGTCAAATTGGCAGCTGAAAAAAAATGACCTACAATCTGTTGTTAGCTGGGGCAAGGAATGGCTTGTTAATTTTAACGCCTCCAAAACGAAACTACTCTCTTTTAAACGTCTAATAGAAAGAACCCTTTTTGCCCTCCATCAGCATGGCTGATGCTAACCTCTAGAAGAATGACTCATTTCGCCTTCTCGAGCTAATGTTTTCCTCTGACATGAAGTGGAAAGATTATATTGAATCAATTGCTAGCTGTGCTGCTAGGAAATTTGGTTTACTGTATCGTTCTGGACCATTTTTTCTCGCCAGAATCTATTTTACACATTTACAAGTCTACCATTCATCTATGTATTTAAAATTGCTGTCACATTTAGTCCGGTGCCTCTGCTATGTATTCAGAGTATCTTTATAAAATACAAAGAAAAATCTGCAATGCTATTGGCCCTGACCTGGCCTCTCGGTTTCCATCACTTTAAATACAGGATATGTTGTTAAGAGAAAAATAAGATAGAAATAGTAATTAGTTTTCTTTTATTCTACATGTATTTTCTTAAAAGTAATTTGCCTATCGTGAAAATCAAATTTCAGCTTTTATCTGTTTCCGAGCACCAATAAGCTCCTATTGGAGATGTCGGGGCCCTCTTGATAATCAGTACAGTTATAGCCTTTATTTTTCCCGTGTTTCATTAAAATTTCACTTGATTTTTATTTAATTTTTTATTTTTCCGTTATTAACCTATATGTACTAATACTAGTTATTTTATTGGTAGGATAAATCTGTTAACTTTTGGGCTAAGTGTATTTTAATCAAATCAGTAATTCGGCAACATCTCGGCATCTTACAAGTCTCGGTTATGCCGGGTTATTATTTGCTAACTTCCACCCTACAGCCCCTTTCCCCACAGACGAAAAGTCGCGGGCCTCTCGCTACGCTATTGCTATTTCCATGAGGTGTGTTCTGACGTGCTACATTCTTTTGTCTCACCGCTCCTGACCTTTACATAAGTGTGACTCATCCCCACTCCCTTTCGTCTTCCATTTGTAAGGAGTTAGTACCACTTGGGCAGCTTTGTGAAACAGACTCCGAGAAGGAGGTTTTCCTAATCTCTATAATCTTGACCTCTTCAAAAATCTGGTGTTAAACGTTATCTTTCCTACACACTACCATGAACTACACTTCTTGGCTTTTCTTACGCTCATACAACACCACACACTAGGCCTCTACCTTGAGTGGCTCTTGGGTTTTGTAGTGAGTGAAAGTTAGTATATGAAAATGCACCAGTAAAAATAATCTGCCTATGTTGAAAATCAGCATTCATATTTCAGTTTTTATCTGTCCCGAATATCAACGATACTGGAGATGTGTAAATAATTCGCCAGGCAAGTTAATATCTTAATTATAATAATAAAAAATCGGCCGATATACGATGTCGACTTATATACGAATATATTCGGCATTAACAACAGAAAAAAAAAAAACTCAGGTTTCGAAGGATCTAAAAGAGTAAAAATTAGGAGGTAAAACTAATAAGGGAAAAGGGAGCTAAAATAATTGTTTTGAATGTCGGCCTGGGCGATGATCTCATGACAACTTCAATAGAATTTCCGGTTTGTGATTTTGTATTCTAAACGTTCATTTAAACTTTTTCCTGTTATCTCCCCCGCCCTCGTCTCTTCTGAAAGAAGAAATTATACTTTTTATTAGTTAATAGGTTGCTACTTGATACACTAAAAAAATAATAAAAAATACTAATTCTCGTCTTAATTAAAAACTCATTTGTCATTAAAAATGCAGTTTAGTTATTATTGATTTTCCCTTTATTCTTTCTTTTTTCTTTTACTTTCTTATTTATTTTTCATCTTTTTCTTCTTTACCTTTCTTTTATCCTTTTCTTTTTCTTCTTCACTTTCCAGTGGTTTATCTGCAACATTTTTTCCGCAAATTCCACCTTTTTTAATTTCTTTCTTTCTTTCTTTTCTATTTCTTTCTTTCTTTCTTTCTTTTACTATTTCTAGTTATTTGATTCTTTGTTTCTTTTGTGTTTCCTTCCGTCTTTCTTTTTACATTTGCAGTAATTTTTTTTCTTTCCCATTTCTTTCTTTCTTTCTTTCTTTCTTTCTTTCTTTCTTTCTTCTGCCGTTCAGTCTTTCTTTTACTTTTCCAGTTCATTGATTTATTTATTCATTTCCTTCTTTTTTCTTTCTTTTACTATTTTCTTTTTGCATTTCTTTCATTCTTTCCTTTCACTTTCCAGTTCATTGATTCATCCATTCATTTATTCACTCATTCATTTCTTTCTTTCTTTCTTTCTTTCTTTCTTTCTTTCTTTCTTTTCTACCGTTCCGTCTTTCTTTCTTTTCTCTGCCTTTCTCTCTTTCTTTTACTTTTCCAGTTCATTCATTTCTTCATTCATTCATTCATTCATTTCTTTCTTTCTTTCTTTCTTTCTTTCTTTCTTTCTTTCTTTCTTTCACTTGAATCCGCATATTCTATGTCTTTTTACCTACTTTTCTTTCCTTCGCCCAGATTCACTTAGAACGTTTTTGTCTCTATCGGCGTTGTCGTCGTCGTATTCTTCTTCTTCTTCTTCTTCTTCTTCTTCTTCTTCTTCTTCTTCTTCTTCTTTCCCACCCTGACCCTCTCCGCTCATTATCCCAATTTGATTCTTAAATTACTTCTTAAACACTTGTCTATTTATGTGCCTCCCACTACATCCTTTTCAGTCTCTCTAATCTTCGCCATCTCTGTTTCTTTCTCCTCTCGACCAACTTCTCGACCTTTTTCTCTTTCACAACCGACTCTAATTACACACCGCTATCTCTCCACTTGCCGGGAACCCCTCCTATCGACCATAATCACCTATAATTATCTTTTAGCTAGTTGAAGACCCGACTGATACCTGTCAGAACCCTGGGCTGTTTATCACCAGGGTTTAAATGTCTACCTGCACGGTATCTTGGCTAAACTCCTTTTAAACAAATATTATATCCATTGAGCATATCACGGTGGGATTTTTGTCTGTCAACAGGACTATTTTTCCCGTTTTTATTGTTGGCTTTGTGATTGCCTCAAAAGAATAAAAAAGTGATGAATCTTTGATTACTTAAAGTGCGCCATTGCTTTTTCTGTCCACTTCTCGACAACTGATTTGTAGTCGTCCTTATAATCTTAACACTGTGAATAAAAAATGACGTACAGAATAAAACAAGAATAATAACTGAACACTTAATTGTACATAACATCACTCTATTCTGTAAATAACGCTTGCTTCAATTTTTGATAATCGCTTTCTTTATCATATTCAATATAATTCTTTTTATAGCGAAATCAGTAGTAAGGTATTTATATTAAGCATATAATATACACCCATGTACGGTGAGCTGGCCACGGAATAACGTCCGGTAGGACGTGCTGCACTATGTTTCAAGAGAGGGACCTGAAACTGGGAACAGCTAGCAGACAAACGAAGCGGCTGTTCGAAGAGGAGTCGTGATAAGCGGGAAAGGGTGAAATCAACTGTTGGAGACCAGAAGACACTACATTATCTATCTATCTATCTATCTATCTATCTATCTATCTATCTATCTATCTATCTATCAGCCTCATTCCTTTCATTATCTATCTATCTATCTATCTATCTATCTATCTATCTATCTATCTATCTATCTATCTACCGTTCATTATCTATCAGGCCGTTCATTATCTATCTATCTATCTATCTATCTATCTATCAAACATGTGTGTGTGTACGCGTGTGTATATTATTTATTATGTTGGAGATTGATTGAGTGATTCGGTTTTACAGCTTGTCAACCATACTAGGTTATTTTAAAGCCAGAAAATATTTTTAAATTGCAAGAATTTTTTTTGAGATAATAATGATTTAGTGATACAAGCCTTACTAATTAACCCATATGGGGGGACAAAAGTGATGGATTCATACCTTTCGCAAGGGTATTTGCCCGTAAGTGAATATAATGAGCCCAACGGGAATTGGAACTTAGCTCTCCGATTAAGAATTCCAAGCGAGTATCCGATACACCACCCGCACATCCAAGTTTACAGTATCTGGTATTTCCAAGTTGTCACGCATTTCGGTAATGTCCAGCAGGGCCGTTGCGTACTACCCTCCGATCGGTGTGTGTGTGTGTGTGGGGGGAGGCAAGCCTGATTAAGGGCAGTGCTTTGTGATCCTTGCTGTCTTATCAACATTTGTTCATGGGTATTTCGAATAATTATAATTTAGTATAATTGTTCTTTTGATTAATTTTCGTTAAAATAATTTATATAAAAACTGTCCTTGAAAATGGCTAAATGTATAGCCGAAAGCGTTCGGATAAAAAGATTTTCGCTCTTATTTCAGCATCTTTTTTAGCTGTTAAACCTTGAACAAAGATTAGCCATTCGATCATATCTGGAGTGATTTCATTTATTCTAAACTTTTCACATTCTTTGTTGACGCTACCAGCATACGTGACAAAATCTTCGCCCCACCTTTTTTTTTTGTAAGATTCACGCGTTTCTAACCAGCATTAAACAGAGAGCCCTTGTCACTAAAGATTTTGTAATATGTAGTTGAAGTAGTTTAGCATACTCTATCGGAGCTATTTTCCTCAATAATAATCTCGTTTTTCTCTCATCTTCCCAGCCGATGCATTTCTGGCTGGATATTTGTTGATATCTACGAAAATACACAGAAATAGTCAGTCTAATCCCTCATCAGGATTGTATACAAATTTTGATATAATGTTTTGGACACCGTCTGGCGTAAGAGACGTTAAAGAAGTTTGTTTTGTTCAGAATTATATCCAACAACTCCTGTTGTTGTTTTTTTGTAGTTCTAGCAACTGCTGATTTTGTTGCTGTTGCTGTTTCTATTGTTGTTGAATTTCAACTATTAAAGCCAAAATTTGTTCCATATTCGAATGGATATGTTTTTTTTATACACTCAAAAGAAAAAAAAATCTTTTTTTTTTCTACACAATAAGAAAAAAAACCCGACGTAGTTAAAATTCTTGTCGTCATCCGTATTTTTGCTCCCGAATCAACAAGTATATGTTTTTCCATACTTGTTCACTCAGTATGAGTTTTCAAAATCCTTATAACTCCAGTTACAACTCGTATGAGTTCCTGAATCTTCGTTATGGTTATAAAGTCGTAAGAATACCGAATCCCTCGTCACCATTGTTGTACGCGCTTCGTAGCGCTTATAATAAAAGTAATGCTTATAACTTATAACTTGATAACTCCATCCCAATGCAGGAGCTCGTAATCCCAGACTTGTTTTTATGTGCCATGTCCTTTCAGCACGTAGGCGATCATCCACCTCCCTCTATCCCTTGCTGTTCTCAACAAGTTCCTTTCCTCTACTACTTCTCTCAGACCACGTTCTGTCACCCAATTGCTTAAGCCCGTCGTTGTTTTCCTTTGTTTCGCTTTCCCTCTATTCGCCCTGTGAGTATCAGATTCTCCAGGCCCTCCTTCCTTATTAGGTGTTCCAGAAATTTCAGCTGACTCTTCCTGATGATAATTATAAGCCTCCTCCTTGTTTGCATCCTCTTTAAAACCTCATCGTTGCTCACGGTCCATTCAGGGCGTTGACAATCATGGCTCTTCATAATTTCCTGTCCTTTCTAGCTCTTAATAATTTTGTCTTTTTGTTATCTCTCCTAAACCTTGTTCTACCATCCATTTCCTATTATTTATTCTATGTGTCCATGATATCCTTAGAATCCTTCTGTGGAACCACATCCCCGTCGCCACGAGTCTTTTCTTCATCTTTGAAGACGGGTTTACTTGTGTCAGAGACTCCCACGAAAAGGACACTGGTCTCCTCTATATATGCTCTTGCGTGGCACAGTGATTTCTTGACCTATTCCTCCGATCCTGTTAGGAAAAAATACCTCTTTGAAGTTTTACATCCCCCTTGGACGCTTCAGATCATTCACTAGTATATTTGTTTCAAACTTCATCACTCGATATGTGTTTTCAAAATCTTTGTAAATGTCATAAGTCGTAAGAGTTCCGATTCCTGTTAACGAGTTTCGAATCCTTCGTCGCCATTGCTGTAACGCGCTTCGTAGCTTATAAAGTAATGCGTCGACTATTTACCGTGATGCCTGTCTTAATTAGTCTGAAGACTGATTCCAAATGTCTTTTTTCTTCTTAATTCTGACCTGGAGTTCATTACTTATAGTTATGGACTATTTACTCCACAGCACTATTCAGCCGATAAAGATGGAGTAAGCCCCTTGTATAAAATAAAATACAATAAAGAGACAAACACAGACAATCATTTCAGTAATAAAAAAAAAGGAATAAAGAATAACTCATCTGCACACTATCAGTTACTCACGTCCAATGTAAGAGGAAGGTGAAGATCATAAAAACAAGGTTAAGAAATTCACGATCTGAGGAGAATTTGGAATCATACATGGTGTTATCCATTGGAAAGGAATTATTAGATGAATTGTCAACGTCCTCAAGGGACACGGCACATAGAATAAGAAAAAAAGAGATTGAGTAAATGGATGGCGGAACAAGGTTTAGGAGACATAACAAAAAGACAGAACTACAAAGAACAGGAAATTGTGGAGAGCCATGATCGCCAACGTCCTCAAGGGACACGGCACATAGAAGAATAAGAATGAACTTGAGTAAATGGATGGCGGAACAAGGCTTAGGAGAGATAAAAAAAGACAAAATTTATTATGAGCTACAAAGGACAGGAAATTGTGGAGAGCCATGATTGTCAATGTCCTGAATGGACACGGCACATAGAAGAAGAAGAATGAGCGTAAGTAAATGGATGCCGAAACAAAGTTTAGGAGAGATATGAAAAAGACAAAATTATTAAGAGCTACAAAGGACAGGAAATTGTGGAGAGCCATGATTGTCAATGTCCAAGGTACACAGAATAAGAAAAAAGAGAAATTTTGTCCATTTCATAATGTGTGACGTCATTTGTTTACATTTGGATACGCATTGAGCAGATATGAAAGTATGAGGGAAAATCATGGAGAATTGTGTATAAAAACAGTAAAATCGACATTGCTAACCGAACGCTCCTCTGTGGCCCAATCGGTTAAAGCACATCAGGCTATATAACGGTTCCGTATAGGATACAGGTTCGATTCCCATCGGAGGACGCATATTTTCTATGAAAATTTCTCGGACATTCAGGCCGGTAAATGTTGTAATACTGTTTATTATAAACAGAGGATTTACTATATTTATATATATATAAACTTTGAATAAAAACATAAAAAAATGTCTGAATACAAATATATATATATATATATATATATTATATATATATATATATTTATATATTTGTCTGTAATATAATTTCCCAACCTTAAAATATGTTTCTTTACATTCATGGGTTGGATCGTCATAGAAAATTTGACAATTTGTCTGACGACTGTATAAATATATATATATATATATATATATAATATATATATATATATATATATATATATATATATATATATATATATATATATATATATATACCGGTGTTAAAATAAAAAATTGTTCAAATCGTAACAGCATGCGATAATTGTTGTATCCCACAAAATGTTTAATATCTATTCAGTCCTTCAGCAATACTGACAACATTCATACACTGGCT